TGGAGGAATTAGAATCCAATGAATATCTGAAAGAAGTTTGTAATGTATTAGATTCAAAAAAGAGTGAGCTAGGATCTTCCGCAACAACTAGCTTTCTTTGGCTTAAATATCAATCCGCAGTAGCTACCATTCGTAAACTCATAAGTGCAGATCGTTAAGGATCATTCTCAATGCTACTTGTAGGTCTTACAGAAGTCCTGCTCATTTTTGCAGCAGCTGGGCATACTAATTACACAAAATCAGTTTACCTTCACGTACAGAACATGAAATCTCTGCAGTTTTCAATAAAGGTGGTCATGTGATACGACGGACGTACCTATAAAATATGGGCAGGATTGCCATCAGATTTGGTAATTGAGCACTATTTAATGAGGTCACTCAGGACAAGTGGAGGTCTCACCATAGTATGTCAATGCTTGTGTATTTGATTTGAAATACAATAACTCAGTGCAAAAGCTAACAAACGTTGTATACGAGTCTAGTGAACAGCATAAAGATTTGGCACAATCTCGAATGAAACGAGACACAGAGAACTCAGATAAGATACTTGAGCTACTGATATCGATTTCATCTTATTCAGACTACCCAACTTTGCGAAACATTGTAACTGGTGTCACAGCAGCTGAATAAGTGAATGTTGAAACATTTAAAACCATTGCTATGGACATTGTGGAAAAGATGAAGGGCCAGGAGGTGTTTTCATATAAAATGAAACAAAATGACAAGGCAAAAACAACTTCTTCTGTATTATTCATTAGGTTCAAGAACAAGGAGGCCACTATTGACCCAGCTCTGTTATTTCAGAGATTGATTATGTCATCTTCTTCCAGTGAAACTGATCTTGCGGAAGTAATGAAATCTAAACTGTGGCTCCTTTCCACCTGCGTTATTTGAGAGTCCAAAAGTATGAAAGCAGACACGCCAACTATCAAAGGCATTGGATGCGCATGTTACTTCAAATAATGTTCAGCCATTTGCAACAGAGGGAGAAGGTAAATCAAGTTATGTGCTCGATGGAGGGTCCTTACTGCATTGCTGGCCATGGTGTAATGACAGTAAATTCAGTGATATAGCAACATGTTATGCGTCATTTGTGACAGCTAATTATGGGCAAGTAACTGTTACTTTTGATGGCTATACATCAGAATACACAATAAAAGTCATGACCCATAATCGACGAACAAATAGAATTTTTCCCTCGGTGAACTTCACACCAGATATGACATTCACAGGCAGTGAGGAAATGTATCTTGCTAATAATTGTATATCAATGATTTGCTGCTTCAATTGCCATCGGAAACTTTGTTGTTGTATCCTATGCTGATGATACTGTGATATTATGTGGTGACGATTCATGGAAGAAGGTGCAAGATAGAATGAACAATTCGCTCAGGCGCAGGCGTGTTGATATGTGGCTGGCACTTGTATAGTGTATATATAGATTTTGGTGCATACTGTCATACTGTGATAGTGTCGCTAATCAATTGGACATAAAAATAAACAATCGCCAAATAAAAAGAGTAGAGAGTTGTAAGTACTTACGCAATTACATTGATTATAGAATAAGATGGGATATTCACATTGAATATATTATCAAGAGGACTAAATATTTATTATTTATTTTCAAAAAGTTATCACTGTTGAGTGTCTATTATGCCTTATTTCATAGTATATGTAACTATGGAATTATAGCTCAGGGAGGCGCATATAACAACGTCAAATGTACCTTGGAATCTCTCCAAAAAAGATTACTGAAAAAAGTCCGTAAGGGTGATGCTAATCTCCCTGTTTCACTGAAATTAGAACAGTCTTTCATTTTTAAGTCTCTTACATTTTATTATGAAGATCTAGAAAGGAACTTTATGCAATCAAAAAGCATAAGAAGCAAAACCATCAATTTACCAAAGATACCTAAATTGATAAAATTAAATGTTGTGGTGGCTGACTAAGTTTCAGTGGTTTCTGCTTCATTTTAAAATATCCTTGATTGGCTGCAGAGTTACTTTAGTCCAAGAAACGGAGATCTGAAAAGAGGGGTTACCTCAACATAATTAGAAGTTGAAATTTTTTTGGAGGGATCGGTTGATTCTAATATGCGAAACAACATATTAAGTTTGCGACCTTGTACTTCCATAGGGTTTTCAGTTAGGGGTGGTTTTTAGGGGTAATTTGAGGTTTATGGAGAACGCTGCTCAAAAGGATGGTCCAATAGCAAAAAGTTTCAAATTAATGTTGTAGCTGAAGCTTTTTGCTATAAAAAACTCAGCGACAGCATCCCTCTATCTTCTATAGTTTTTTTTCTGCAGCGTCTTGAATAGTAGCATGTTTTTGTTCAAGGTCACTGAATCAACATTCTGCCATTTTGCGCGCATTTGTTGCAGCAGCGGCCGAATGCATAATCCGATTTCAATTTTTCAAACACCACATTATTGCTAATGAAATGCACTCTCCAATGCTTTTTTGTTCGAATTTTTTGCTTGAAAATTAAGCGAGCACGGACTTGTCTAATGTGCGAGGAAGTTGTAAATTGCATCGAAAACTACCCCTTTCTTGCATTCACTCTAATTTCTTAACGGGGCCAAATATTTGGTGACAGTTTTCGACAATCGGCAGCCCATTTATTCTTCTCATAATGCCCCAGCGGATTTTTTTTTTCGTCAATTATTCAATGACTTATTGGCCTGAAAACGTCGCGCGGGATTTTTCAAAAAGTAAAAAAAAAATAAAATTGTCGCATAGCGCTGAAATTTGGTACGATGGCCTTATTTATTGTTTTTACGAATATAATGCAATTTTAATTGCTTCACATGATATAAAATTGCAGTATATTCATGAGAACAATAAATAAAGCCATCGTACCAAGTTTCAGCGCTATGCGACAATTTTATTTTTTTTTTACTTTTTGAAAAATCCCGCGCGACGTTTTCAGGCCAATAAGTCATTGAATAATTGACGAAAAAAAAAATCCGCTGGGGCATTATGAGAAGAATAAATGGGCTGCCGATTGTCGAAAACTGTCACCAAATATTTGGCCCCGTTAAGAAATTAGAGTGAATGCAAGAAAGGGGTAGTTTTCGATGCAATTTACAACTTCCTCGCACATTAGACAAGTCCGTGCTCGCTTAATTTTCAAGCAAAAAATTCGAACAAAAAAGCATTGGAGAGTGCATTTCATTAGCAATAATGTGGTGTTTGAAAAATTGAAATCGGATTATGCATTCGGCCGCTGCTGCAACAAATGCGCGCAAAATGGCAAAATGTTGATTCAGTGACCTTGAACAAAAACATGCTACTATTCAAGACGCTGCAGAAAAAAAACTATAGAAGATAGAGGGATGCTGTCGCTGAGTTTTTTATAGCAAAAAGCTTCAGCTACAACATTAATTTGAAACTTTTTGCTATTGGACCATCCTTTTGAGCAGCGTTCTCCATAAACCTCAAATTACCCCTAAAAACCACCCCTAACTGAAAACCCTATGGAAGTACAAGGTCGCAAACTTAATATGTTGTTTCGCATATTAGAATCAACCGATCCCTCCAAAAAAATTTCAACTTCTAATTATGTTGAGGTAAACTTCCTTCATTGCTTGGACTACTTAGCAAATGGGTAAATGTATTTTCATTTAAATCAACATCTTGATTATTGTCAGCACTAAGCAAATTTAGTAAAAATCCACCAAAATGTTAGGGTTTTTTTTGTAATTTTTCTTTTTGTTTCGTTATTGATAATTTTTAAAAAAACTTTAGGCAATTTAATTAGAAATATTTATGACAAAAAAGATTAATTTTTAATTGCCCAATCCACATTATCAAACCCCCATTTTCTTTAACAACCTGTAAGTATGTCAGAAACGAAAAGTTTTCAAAAGAAAGCTTTTATTTTGATTGCTACTGCCTAACTATTCTATGTCCTATTTATTCATGAACATTCGGAGTTATTGCCAAGTAAATACCTACATAACCGTACATTTTCTAGTTCCTTTGCATCAACTTAACAAAACAGCATACAGAAATCACAGCGCAAAAATTTTACTTACATCACTAAAACTAAACATTTAATTCAAATTGCCTTAATTTCACACCCAAATTCAACAAAAAAATGATAAAAAAAATCTCCTTATTATTTGTGTCACGTTTACGCCAAAATCTTAAAATATACAATGATCAACAGGCGACCACTTATTTTTAATAGGCTATTTATAAAAATTCAGTAAACACGAAATTTCACAATAAGTATTGGGAAATTAAAGCAACTGGAAATCAATTGAAACACACGAAAAAATAAATAAACAAAATTTGGTTTACAGGCCCCAAACAAACCTGAACCGAAACTATGACAAAACTAAAGTTAAAACAATCACAAAAGCTGTTTTGAAAAATGAGTCAAGAACAGAGGAAACGAGGTATGAATTAAGAGGGTGCATCGGAATTCAATTAAAAATAACATCAAATTATATTTCTTTACAAAACTGCCGATCTTTAAACCTGAAATTTAATTTGCGCAAACCTATCGCAATCACATGTAGAAGCGTGACGGCAATATACAGTTAAAATTAAGCCACCAAACATTTTAATTCCATTAGTTGAACGTCGATGACCTTAACGAGTTTTGATAAAATAGCGGGAGGTTTTAAATGATGTCATCGTCATTCTAACCCATGTGGTATCCAAGTAAATGCATAAAATGCATTGAAAAAAAAAATCAATTAACTATGAAAATAGTAACTTTTGATTTGCAAAAGTTTTATCATCAACCTTGTACCTTTTCAGTATTGCAATTTTTTTTTGTTATTTTACAATTCCATATCGTGTTTGTCATCTCAAGAAAAGGATAATCGTTAAAAAATCTGTAAGGTCTGAGATCACTTTATGTAAATTTATTGAATACTTTGGGTTTATATGAGTCTTTAATTTGTTTGTTTATATGAGTGATTCATATTGGACAAAAACCTTCACATTTAATGTTTGAAACAAAATACAAAACTTATTTTTTGACTTACTCCCACTTGGGTTTTATTACGTTTCTTCCTAAATGATATCCCTGAGAGGCCGATTTTTTTCTTTGCACCACCAGAACCATCGGATTCCATTATTGTTTAGTAGGTACACTATTTGCCACAACAAAAATCTTTCCACACCCAAAAGTGTCACACACACACGACTATATTTTTCAGAATACACAATATTGTTTGAGTAATCAAACAAATTGAAGATAACAATTATAAGATAAGAGAGCAATAATATACCTTGAGTATCCAAGATAATTTTTAATTTCTATGCAGTTTATTGTCTTTTATATCTATAAATAAATTATATGAATTAAGATTTGATGTCAATAAAAATTTAAACAGTGCACCTACATACTTCTTTTCAAAATGCATTCAATTACCACAAAAATGTTTGTAAAGTTTATCTAAATTGTGTAGCTTACCCATTGAAAAACCCGAATACTCATAATTACATGATGTACAGAATTTCAAAATATGTATAGGTACTCAACGCTCAAAATAGTAAGAATTATTTTGAATTGCCAGAGTGCAATGCAAGATAATATAATCTTCTTCAAAGAAGTTGAAACTGATAATTTTTCTATTTCTAATAATACAAATCCCACAGGATGCATTTTTGACCAAGATATGCTAATAGGCCACAAGATAATGTCAGTGAGCTACAGGGGAAAAACTAACCACTAATACATGGAAACCTCGATGGAAACCAAGTGCAGTTTCTTTTTAAATAAGTATTAAATGAGTATATTTCTATTTCTTTCTAGCATTTTTTGCTTTCCAATTATAAAAAATACCTACTAAACTATTCAAGTACTTACAAAACTTCCAGATTTCGCTTTTTCATGGCGGGACATGTTTTTCAGTCATTTAGTTCTATGTGGAATGTAAAATTGCTGTGGAATGTATCCTGGAACAAAAAAAAAATCATAGAGAACCAAATTAATTATTTTATGGAATAATATAGGCCAGAATGGTGCATCTAGCAAAACACAAATGTGCTAAAAAGATAAGATAAAAATTTTCATTAAAAAGAATCGGTAATCTGTTAGCAACCCTTCATTGGTAAATTGGATTTTATTTATTAATGCAATCATCTAAGGAGAATTTGAAATTCCAAGAGATTTTATGCAATTTTAAAGGCATTTAACCAGTTTTTTTGAGTTACCCACCCTTAAATTTCACCTAGAACGGTTCAGTAGACTTTGAGGACCTGCCAAATGAGAAAATCTAAATTGAATTGAAAAAATATGCATTAGGTATCCAGGTGTGTTTCTTGAGGAAATAAGGATTGAAAATAAAGGAAATAAATGGAGAAACTGATTGGAAAAAGTTTTTTCTGGTTCTTTGACTTGTGGAAATGATTCTTTTGCCATTATGATGAAAATAAAAATAAAAACAAGGCCATTGAAAGTTGCTTTGAAATAAAAATTCACTGGAGATTGGAAAATTTAGTTATTTCATCTTAGGTTAGGTACATCACCTAAAATTCTCTTAAATCAGTTCAAATATTATAAAGTCAGGGATGATTTCATTTCCTGCTATGTTGTATACTTTTATTGCCATGGACTTGCACATTATTCTAGTGTGTTAATTTGAAGCTTATTATTATTATTATTATTATTATTATAGGTTTGAGCAGCAGTAAGCGGCAACGCCGATAAGACTAGTGCTGTATTATATCCTTGTTTTCACTGTTATGAGTCACATGAAATGCACAAAATTCAGTCTAACTCTCTCAGTGACGGTCAAGTCTGTTTTTGAATGTGTTCTTTGAAGACTGTGCTTTCCTGAAGGGCGTTCCCGAGGGCGTTCCACTGATAGACAACCTTATTCGTCAGAAAATTCATTCTGATCAGCTTCGAGCATCTCTCCTTATCCAGCTTCTTAGTATGGCGTCGGAGTTGCTGGTTAGTATGTAGACTGACAATGTCCAGTTGCAAATCTGGAGAATAATGGTAATTTAAGAAGTATGGACTTCCCATTTTAGGTGATTTGAGATAATGACACCCAGATCTTTTTGCTCAGTGACAGCCTTCACGGTAGTGCCGTTTAAGGGGTAAGGTATTTTTGGATTGTTAGGGCCAATGTGTCTTACAGTGCACTTGTCGGAGTTAAGTATTAGCTGCCATTCGCTGATCCATTTTTCGAGGGTTTTCAGGTCGTCTAAAAGGTTGTGATGCTCCAAGCACGGATTGCAGTATATTTTTGTGTCATCAGCATAGAAAATAATGTTTGTCTTTCTAATAGAATGAAGATCGCTGATGTATACAGTAAACAGTAGTGGCCCCAACACTGATCCCTGTGGCACCCCATTAAGGACCTTGTATTCATCAGAGTAATGCCCATTTGCTCTCACTTGAAAGGTTCGGTTTTGTAGAAAACTCCATCTCGGCCTATCCATCCGAGGAGCTCACCCCTAGTTCCAAAGTGCTGCAATTTGAATAATAACCTTTTGAATGCCACTTTGTCAAATGCCTTCTCATAGTCTAGGTACAGTACATTGTACGTTGGTTGTGGTAGATCGTTGGGGGAGAAATCTGTGTTGGGTGGGTGATATGGTCTTGTTTTTAACAAGGAAAGATGTCATTTCCTGAACTAAATATTATGTTTTCCACATTGATGAGGTTTTCTATGTTCTTGCAGAGGTTACAGGTAAGGCTAATTGGTCTGTAATTTCCAGGGTTGGGCTAGTCTTCTTTTTTATAGATTGGCACTACATATGCTCGAGTCCATCCCTGTGGCACAGTTTGCTGAGTGATTAGTGACTGCAAGACGCAGGTTATCACTGGAGCCAACATCCTTTGGCAATTTATTCAAAATATTGCCGGCATTTCCTCCCGGCCTAGACTAGATTCTCTTTTCAGAGTAGAGGTGGCTTGAATAACCTTTTCCTCAGTGCCTCCTGTTCTGTTCCAATGTTATATGATGAGGCCTGTATATACAGACCAGAGAAAACTTTATGTCTGCTATTTTGATATTTAGCCAAACAGCGTTAATGTCTGTGGGCGCCCTGCCCTGCATTTATGGTTTATGTTTGCGCAAATTTTTCGCCTGTTGATTCCAGTTTTTATCCAGATGTAGACTCCTTTGCCTTGATCCTCACGTTCACCCCTGAATTGAGTCCGAGATTCCTTTGTGAAACCATGTCTCGGTAACCAGAATGAAAGTTAGGTTCTTTCCTCGGTTCTTTCTGACCACCTCTGTCTGAAATTCATGGATTTTATTGTTTAGTGAATTGGCATTTCTATAGTAGAATGTAACTTCAGACATATTGGGAGCTTTTTGGCCGCCTTCAACATTTGCCATGGCCTCTCTGGATTTGGCGATCTCTGGCGTCCCATTATGATATTTGATTTTGATATTTATCTCACCCTTTGCTGTTCTCTCCTCAAGTTCTCGTATAAACTTGCCTAAGTAGGCTTTTTGTGCTTTACTTTGGTCATATTTTAAATATTTTCCTGTTCCATCCAGTTTACTCTTGAATCTGAGAACTTTGGCTGGCCTAACTTTTCCTGGTGTGATTGGGTCAAGCCGAAGTTTTTAAATATCCGCGAGAGGTGTTCACTGACTTTATAAGATCTCCCACTGCCTTTATTTCCTTCTCTATCCTACTTTCTCTTGTATTTGCATCACTTTCATTTGGTCCAAATATGAGTACATTTACCTTTCTACACTCTCTTTCCTGTATCTCATAGATGGTAGGTTCTACTTCGGGTTGGGATACAGTATCTGAGAGAACCACAGTTGTTTTAACCTCGTTTTCAATTTTGTCAACTCTCTGTTTCACCAATGTTATCTCAGCATAGCTTGGATTTCGATTGAACTGTTGCTGCAATTCTTGCATTCCAGTGCTTAAGGCTGTTGTTTTTGCTTCCAGGTCTTGTAAGATTGTTAGATTGTGACTGGGATGTGGCTGCAAGTTTTGGATTTCACCGCTTAAACCTGTTGTTTTTGCTTCCAACACTTGCAATATTTTTTTCTCTTGAACATGTGATGTGGCTTACCTTAGTTCAGCTTCAATTTTTGGTATTATGTATGTGAATGATAGTAACGATTTGATCGAGCCAGCACATAGGTACATCACAAAAGATCAACTCAGCAACTTAAATTAAATTTGGAAGCTTTTTCTTACATTATTACATGCAAAAATGATTAAATTCTGAAAAAATAACTTGTGGAAAATACTTCCAATGATCACAGTGACTTAAAACTTTCAGGATTTATTAATTGAAGTTTCCTCTTTGTGGAAAAGTTAATTTGAAGTTGATTTGAAGCTCCAAACTAAATTTGGAAGCTTTTTCTTACGTTAATTCATGTAAAGATGACAAAAAATTCTGCAAAATTCACTTGTACAAAATACTTCTAATGATCACAGTAACTTGAAACTTTCAGGATTTAGGAATTTTGAAGTACCCTCTTTGTGAAAAAGTAAATTTGAAGTTCCAAACTAAATTTAATTTACATTAATGTATGCAAAAATTATTAAAATCTGCAAAAATCACTTGCACAAAATACTTCTAATGATCAGAGTGACCTGAAACTTTCAGGATTGATGAATTCTAACTAAACTTGGAAACTTTTTCTCATGTTAATGCATGCAAAAATGAAGAAAATCTGCAAACATCACTTGTGAAAAATACTGCTAATGATCAGAGTGACCTGAAACTTCCAGGATTTATGAATTGAGTTTACTCTCTGTGAAAAAGTTAATTTGAAGTTGATTTGAAGGTTCAAATTAAATTTGGTAGCTTCTTCTTATGTTAATGCACGCAAAAATGATTCAAATCTGCAAAAATCACTTGTGCAAAATACTTCCATTGATCATAGGGACTGAAAACTTTTAGGATTTATGAATTGAAGTTTTTTTTTTTTGGGAAGTTAATTTGAAGCTCCCGAATGAATTTGGGAGCTTTTTCTCAAGTAAGTAGATGCATGGAAAATTTTAAAATTGTGTCCAGGTGAAATTGAATTAACTTACCCAATTAATCAGCAGTTTTCAACTGAAAATACGCCTATGGAAGGATTTTTATGACTACTTGCTTCAATTTGAAGGATTTCAATGCAATTATGAACCAAAAATATGCCTAGAAAAGATTTTGTATGATTATAAGCTTTAATCTAGGTTGTTTCTTGTTCTTGTTGAGCTCGCATTTTAGGATCAGGGTTGGTAAAAATCTGGCTAATTATTTCATAGTGGGTAGAGAATTGGATTTTTGTTTTGTTTTTGATCCAAGTATATTTTTATGTATTTCAAATATCTAACATTGTAGATTGCGGGGGAGTCTTTTCGGCTTTTCAGCCGCTCAGCACTGCTACCTTTGCAGATATTCTGTACATGACAGAAATATCTAACATTTTCAAACAAATAACAACTGCGAGAACAGCTGGCGAGGCTACTGGTTACGGGTTTCACAATCTTATTTCAATTTTCTCTTCGATTTTCTCTCTGTAATAAGTATTTTCAAAAAACGTTTTTTTTTGTCCTTTTTTTAAACATTTGGTTGGAATTTGCACTAATCAAGCTATACCTACAAAATGACATTCTTTCCAAGATTCTTTCAAAGTCTTTGTTGAAGCTATAAATTCTTGTAAAAGGCCTTAAATCATTCAAAACTTACTCTCCAAGAACAAAATGAGGCAGATACATAATCAATAAATTCTGCTCCAGTCCTCAGAAGCTCTTCTTGAATAGCAGTTTTTCTCAATTTTCTTGGTCTTTGGAATTTGGGAACTGCTTTGAAAAGTTAAAAGCTCTACTTTTCAAGTCTTCAGAGCGAGCTTCCTCGGAGCTTCAGAAATTCAAGAGGCAGAAATCATCCAAAAGTGTCCCCTTCCAAAGTGTTTGTCCTTGGAAGCTATAGATTCCTCTGAAACTCTTTCACTCCCCTGAATTACTCCAAATGCAATTTATAGAGTCAATATGAAGCAATAAATATTTATTAATTTTTATTCTAATCAAGTAAGCCACCCCAAACATGTTATGATGTAGAAAACGGATATTGCAGATTTATTTGAAAGTCATTTAGATTAGAAAATGCCCCAGCAATATTTTAACAAGTTCGGATGACATGATATCCGGGTCTCTACTGTAATGCGTAGATTTACTTCTTATTTTTTATGGATTTATTTGTGCTGAATTTTCCTGAAATTTCGAAAAAATGATTTCTAGTGCTCCAAATTTCAATTTCGATCCCAATTTTACATATTATCGGCTCTTGATGTGTTGGATTTAAGTGGCCGAGTTATAGGCCCTAGGGAGCCGGTAATAGCTCAAAATTTAATAAGTACCTACTAGCTCTTTCTTGATTTGTCAGAAATATTTCCTAGTATTTCAAATCTCACTTTTGATCTAAATTTTAATTATTATCGGCTCTTGAGACGCTGGAGGTTTATTCTAGAGGCCCTCAAGAGCCGGTACTTCTGCCGGTACTAGTTCAAAATAATTGATTACCAAATTTTGATTGAGAAGAACTGCAGTGATGTTAGTGAGTCATGACCAGCGCGCATGACGGCGGGTCATGACGGTCATGACCGTCACGTCACATTCAATGTGACCGTTAGTCATGACCGTTTTACTGCATAGTGTGTAAATGTGCAGTAGTAAAGTAGACTGCATAGTATGCGGTAAAGTAGATTCGGTGTTCAGGTACTCTCAAAAATCCCTTCTCGTTCAGAAATTTCAAAAATGCCTTTTTTTGGAGTAGTTGCTCATAGGTATAATTTTGAATGCGGTGAAGTATCACCTCGAGTATCACTTACTGCATTTGTTAGGTAAAAAGCTATTAATTTTGTTATTTTATTTGTTATTTGTTGAAATTTCTTCTGTTCTGAAATCCTCAATTATTTGTCAAAACTCAATCAATAATTGACTGTCCCTATTTTAAACCCATTTGTGAGTTTAAAGACCATAGACTGTGGGTAGTGGCGTTCTAAATTGAAATAATTACTATGAACTATGACCATGATCATGACCGTCATGACATGTCATGACGCAAATGACCGTCACGATTTTAAATGACCGTCATTTTACATCAGTGAGAAGAAGTGAAATAATGCTGAAAATGTTTAGGAAATGAACTTTAATCGCTTGATCTATTGTTGACATTTTCTTCCAGGTTTTCTTTCATATTTCAAAGCAAAAAGCCAGAAGAGAGCAGTTTAAGCTTAGGGACAAAGCTGGATCATTTTTTGGCTTATAAAGCAGTTGTGAACCAAAAATACGCATAGGAAAGGATTTTCACGACTACTAGATTTAATTGGATGGATTTTAATGCAATTTTTCAAAAGGTCTTGTTCAAGATGAAAGTATATACTACTACACCTTTTCCATATGTATTTCAGAGATCGTCAGTTTAATTTCAGAATGCGTCAATTGAAATTCAGATTAGTAAATTGTATTTCGGAAAGCGTCAATTGTATTTCAGAATAAATAATTTTATCTGGGAAAGAATCAATTGTATTTCAGATTAGTTTATTTTATTTCAGAAAGTGCCAATTGTATTTCAGATTAGTTAATTTTATATCGGAAAGCATCAATTGTATTTCAGATTAGTTGATTGTAGTTCAGAAAACGTGAATTGTATTTCAGAAATTGTCAGATGCAGTTCGGAAATTAGTAGGTATCTACGCAGATTTCCCCAAATCAACACAAGATAGGTGTATAGGTGACTCATTATAAATTTTATTTAATACACTACATTGATAATATCTGAAATACATTTGACGAATTCTGAAATACAATTTACAATTTCTGATCTACAAATAAATAATCTGAAACACAAATGACGATTTCTGAAATACAAGTGACCAAACTGAAATACAAATAACTTTTTCTGAAATACACCTGACGAATCTGAAACACAAATGATGTTTTCTGAACTACAACTGACAAAGTTGAAATACAAATAACACTTTCTGAAATTGAACTTACACAACTGAAATACAATTGACGCATTCTGAATAAGAATTGATGAATCTGAAATACAAGTGATACATTCTGAAATACTTATGGAAAAGGTGTAGATGTAATGGCTAAAAACCTTGCTAAAAACTTACCACCTTACCCAAGTACAGAGCTCAAAAATATCGAGCTCAAACAAAACTTTTACACTTTTAATGGATAAATTAATGCTAAATACAATCAACAACCAAATCAATCTTTATCAACAAAAAGAAGGAATTTTCTCATTAGAAAATAGGAGGCTCGATAGGAGGTTATATACCTAGTTGGAATACAGATTAAACAAAGAGTCAGTCAATTAGGTACCTGAAACTTTAATAATGTGTTTATGTCTACTTGACTTTACTACATTATTCAATGATATATTTCTCAACTTTTCTGGTTTTAGTAGTGATAAATTGATGATCCTTATTGATGTTATTTGGTACTATTAGAAAATTCTCTATTTCTAGATACTGTAACCCGAGCTGTAACCTAAATATCATGTAATAATAATATACCTTGTTAATAATACAAGCAATACTGAACAATAACTTAAGGAAATTTGGTTCAACCACAATAGTAAACATTCTAGACCACTTGTTGATAATGATAATAATAATACCAATAGCTTAGCTAGAATCTCAAGATTGGTGCAGATAAAGTAAATAAATGCCTAGTTAAAATTTTACAGATTTTACCAAATAGAATCTAAAATTGCTGGCATTCCATTTCAATAACCCCTGGGGCAAAGAATAAATCAAAATTCAAAATACATGTTTGTATATTGGAACATCATGCATGATTTCAAAGGAATTTATTCAGGCTGAGAGATTCAATTAAAGTATATAAATTTTAATTACCGGTGCTTTATTTATCACTTTGTTCAAATATATCCACTTATCACTATTTGTTAATAAAAAAAAGGCAAAAATAATTATTCACAAGTAGTTGTCCACAGTCCACATCAACATCAAACAAAAAACAATTTTTTAAAACTGACATTTTTTTTCTTGACAGTTTGACAACGACAACTACTGTCAAGTGAAGTTAGGTTTTTAGAAGAGGCAACGAAAAAGAAACAAGTTTTGATAATGGATTGTCCACTTTACTTAGCTATCTCTTTCTAATTCTACATATTGGAAAAGGACAGAAATAGGAATATGACTTCGGAGAGTAATAGAATAGATTCCAGCGGGAAATTTTAAAACAATTTTGTATGCTGATATTTTTATTCATTAATAAATAAAATATTATATAAACAATAACAGATAAATTGTCGAGATTCGATTTTGATTTTAGTTGCAATCAATAATAACTCATAAAATATGCAAGAAAATATTTTTGTACTACTTCTATTCCTGGACCCGTTTTACCCACCAAACTCCAAAATAAAATTACATTCTTTATGGAGGTCAGTGCTTTTAGCCTTAAATCTACAATAGTTTGCGTTCTGTTAACAAATTGAATTTGAGAACTGTAATACTGGATTTTTTGTCTATTAATAATCCAATCCCAGTTAGATAAGCAGTACAATGCCCATCATAATACTGCTTTTTCAAAATCTATTATTTAAGCCAACAACTACCACTCTAGGTCATCAGGAAGCCCACCTGGATAATCCCCAGTAAGACAAGCAGTACAATGCCCAATCTCCCTGCCTTCAACTTTAATATCTTTTTGAACAGCTCGCACCAACCCTCCCACACTCAAATATTGCAAACTGTCCGCACCCACTTTCAAAGCAATATCCTCGAAATCCTTTGCATTGGCAATTAATTCTTCTCTAGTGGGAATATTAATGCCCATATAACAAGGAAATTTCAATGGCGGACTGGCGATTCTGATGTGCACCTCTTTGGCTCCGGATTTTCTTAGCAATTTAATTATTGGACCAACTGTGTTGCCGCGCACAATGGAATCGTCGATTAGAATAATACGTTTGCCTTTTACATTGGACAAAATCGGACCTAGAAAGAAAAACTCAATAAAACATAAATGCAATGAAAAAATTGAGCCACTTACTAAATTTTAAGGCCACGTTCATTTGTCGCAAGCGATTGCTAGGCTGTATAAACGTCCTTCCAACATAAGTGTTTTTAGCCAATAGTTCCCCTTGAGGAATTTTTGACTGAAATAAATGTAATTGCAAAATAAAAATAAATTAAATTCATGTCAACATACTTCCAATGAATACCCATGGGCAGCAGCATTTCCAGATTCTGGAACTGCACCCACAATATCAGCTTCTACAGGGTGTTCCAAAGCTAGTTGCCTACCACAATGGACTCTGGCATTGTAAACCTTCAACAACAAAAAAAAAAAATAACCAATATGCTTGACTTTGACTATTGTTTCTTTACCTCTTGTCCTTCAAAAATACTAGTAGGCCTTGCAAAATAGACATATTCAAAAATGCAAAAAGCCAAATGCTTGCCTTCAGGAGTCGAAATTATATCAACAGTCCTCGGGCCATTTCTGGTCAATTCGACAATTTCCCCAGGCAAAATTTCCCGTGTGTATCTCGTGATTTTCATAAAAGCGCAAGATTCTGAGGCAACAACCCAACCGTCTGCTGGTTTTTCAGTATCAATAATGCGATTGACTATGCTTTCTGTATAACCATTTGTCACTAAAAAGTAAATTAATAATAACTTCAATTATTAATAGTTTCAACATACTTTCAGACGTGGCTGCTAAAATTTTTCCCATGCACAATGGTCTGTTACCATAAGGATCCCTAAAAAGACAATACTCCACTATTGAAAAATTACCATAGAATAAAAATCAATCTGCTAACCTCACAGCATATATTCGATTTTTTAGCATCAGCACCAAAGAGTAACTCAAAGGAGCCAATTTCATCAGGTGTCTGATTCTAGCAGGCCAATCAGGTCCATCAACTTCACCTTCTGGTGGTATCAAGCATAGCGCTTGAGTTATCAGCTCGCTGTCAGAGTGTGTTGAAAGCCCAACACCTCTATCAAGAACCTAAAGTATTTTTATTTTTTTATTTTAATTGATCAAATAATTCAACTATTTATACTTGTTTTCTTAGAGCTTCGGCATTGACCAGCTCGCCGTTATGCGCTACAGCTAAAGAACCATGCATCGAGTGTACTACAAAGGGCTGCGCGTTGACGGCAGTCGATTTAGCACTGGTAGAGTATCTGGTATGACCGATTCCCATGATACCAGTAAGGTTTAACAGATTGTCGTTTGTATAGACGTTTTTGACCAGTCCCATGCCTTTTTGGATGTTGAATTCGTTGTGACCCTCGCTTGTAACGATGCCACATGATTCTTGGCCTCTGGAATGAATGGAAAAAAAATATGTATTCGACGTTTGTGAAAAAATGTTGAGCATAGCAGCGCATAGCAGTTATACCTGATGTAAAACCACAGTAAAACCTTTATTCAAGATTTTTTTTCTGGCAACATTTATCAAGAGTTCGGAATTCTTGTCTCTGTCAAATTCATGCTTTGAGAATTTAATGTGGTGACCAAATGGCGATTTATCTAACCTGGTGTTTAAGTTTCTTCCGAGTTCCTGCAAGTTCTTCCAATATAGGTAGTTTCACATTCAGAGCAACTTAATTTATATACACCACTTTTTTGGAGTTTGTGTATTTTATCTTTCTTGTTAACTAATGATTTGTTCAAAGTGTTCTTGTTCTTATGGGATATTGGAACATTGGGAATATGTTGTTTTAGTAATCTATGGATATAGGAGTTAAAAGCATTCAATTGGAAAGGGTGGTGGGAGAGAACGTGGATAGAATGGTCGGTTCGCGTAGGTTTTCTATAGATGCTAAAGGACAATTCTGAGGCTTCCCTATAAATCGTCAAATCTCAAAAATTTAGGCAATTGTTCTCTTCTATTTCAACAGTAAATTTAATAATGGGGTGAACTTGATTTATTGTGTTCAATGAGTCAATTGCTGTAGAGAAATTGCCTTCAATTAAAAGGAAACAATCATCCACGTATCTAGAGTAGTGTTTTACCTCGTTGTTGATTATTATGTGATTGTGCTCCAAGTTATCCATGAACAAATTAGCAAGGAAGGGCAAAAGACAACTGCCCATAGCGAGACCGTCAGGTTGTTGATAGAAGGTGTTATCAAAAAAAGTTCAACAAAGGTAATATGTCAACCACTGTATCCTCACAAACAAGCTCTGACCTCAAACAATCAGCCACCAACACAATGGTTTCTCTTTTAGGTATATAGAAGTGAACAAGTTGGCTACGTCAAACAAGATCATAATATGATTCGCCGAGATTGTAGCATCTTTAGATTGTTAGTATTGTTTATTGAATGTTTGGCTTTAAACGCAGTTAAAGTTTGTATGAGTCTGAGAATAAATTCGGATAAAATAAAAACTGGCGTGTTGGTAAAACTGACAACACAACAGGTCTTACGGTAATGCCCAAATTATGAAGTTTTGGCAGTCCGTACAATCTAGGAATGGTGGGGTTGCTAGAAATCAAGGCTTTTGGGGTATTGAACCGTTCCAAAAGTTTACCGCAAACCCGAACATATGTTTTTGTTTTGGTGATGAACTTCTTTAGGGGGTTTGATTCCAGACTCGATTCCAGAGTTTTAAAATCATTTCCCAAAAGTAAAGACTCAACCTTCAGTTTATAGTCTAAGCTGTTCATGATAACCATGCAGTTGCCCTTATCCGCCTTGGAAATGATCAAATTCTTATTCCAGTAGAGGACTACCTACAATCTCTGAAAATTTCAGCCCATTTGGACTTATAGTTCCAAAAATAAAATCGTGTTAAGCAAATTGGGGTAATTTATAAAATTTTCAATTTTTCTGAGTGCCTTGTTCCATAGATTTCGGCTTCAAATCTGAGAATGATTTAGTGTATGGAGTTTGGAGGATCCCAAAGGACCATTTGAGACACAAAATCTCAACAAAAAAAAAAAATTGAAAATTTCAGCTCATTTGAACTTATAGTTCCAGAAATAAAATCGAGTTAAGCAATTTGGGGTGATTTATCGATTTGTCAATTTTTCTGAGTTCTTTTTTTTCATAGATTTCGGCTTCATATCTCGGAATAATTTGGTGTATGGAGTTTTGGGGATCCCAAAGGACCATTAAGACACAAAATCTCAGCAAAAAAAAATGATTAAATTTTCTCGTTTTAGTACTGAGCTCGGTACTGAGGCAGCTATCTTATGATTTAGATTTTGGAAAACTTTGAGAGGTCATAACTTTTTTCTATTACGGATAGAAAGCTGAAATTTTCAGCAATTCTTATTGCAGTAGAGGACTACAATCAATGAAAATTTCAGCTCATTTGGACTTACATAGAAATAAAATCGTGTTAAGCAAATTGGGGTACTTAATTTATCAATTTTTCAATTTTTCTGAGTACCTTTTTTCATAAATTTTTGATTTCATATCTCGGAATAATTTAGTGTATGGAGTTTGGGGGATCCCAAAAGATCATTAACACACAAAATCTCAACAAAAAAAATTGAAATTTCATCGTTTTAGTAGTGAGAGGTAGCTACTTCATGATTTAGATTTTGGAAAACTTTGAATTATCAATCAATTTTTCAATCTTTCTGAGTGCCTTTTTTCTATATAGATACATGTCTATACATACTTTACTGGGTCACCCTGTATAGTAAGAGATTTGGTGCAATGATGAAAAATGCTTTTTTTTTTGCTAGTAGTACAACCTCGACTACAAGATACCAGATTTAAAAAAAAAATCGATTGGTCCCTGAAAACCCATAAAATGTGTGCGATGACCTTTACCCTTTACCAAAGCTGATATTACAGAAAAATCGCTTTATGTTAGGATAAAGCTAGAGGAAAAATGTCATAATTAGAAAGTCCTTGTTTTGTTGGCTTCTAGATGAGTCCTTGGGTAGAGTAAAGTTTGAAGATTTTATTCCAGCAATAGAACTTTGCCCATATTCAGTTTAGCTAGCCTCACCAAAAAACCTAGACTTACAAGAAATCCTAAAACGGAATTAAAGAAATAAAGAAGAACATTGTTGTAGTGAGTTAGTTCTACATCTACATCCAAGTCTACATCTGGGGACGAGGCATTTGATTGACGATTTTTCAGATGGAGAAATGCATTTAGAAACATCAAGTAAAGAAGATACTTCAAATGGGATCTTCTCAGAAAACATAATGGCGAAATATTAAGCTGTCGTCTATGAACATCAATGGTAGGTATATTGGTAGATATCAAACACTTTATTAGCAATAAAATCTCTTACAAAATGAGTTTATGAAATATTTTAAATCAATAGGTATATATATTCATATTCCCAACATAGAATGTCTGTAACAGTATTCAACAAAGTCTATAAAGTTCTTACATATTTTTCACATTAATTCTTAAATCTAGAGTACGAGTCACATTGCTTCAATTCTGCGGGTATACTGTTAAAAAATTTTAAGCCTACACCGAGGCCTACACTAAACAAAGTGTCACTCTGAAAATCACTAATGTAAAAATTATTTACCACACTGGATCGCGTTTAGTATGAATGAACATCTCGCACATAGGTAAACTTCATCAGATAAATATGATGGTAACATATTATGTTTTAGTTTAAAAACAAAAGTTAGCATTATGTAAGTAGATCTTTGTTGTACATTCATAAGGTTTAATTTCTCCAGCATGGATTTTATTGGTGTTCTTTTGTTACAAAGTAATATTGCTCTCATGCAACGATTTTGCAGTTTCTGTAGCGTGTCTCTTTGAGTCAAATTAAGATAATGATATAATGTACCGCAATATTCAGAATGAGGAGCAATCATTGACTTATAAATTGTGAGCGAAAAGTTAAATCTTGTTATTCAATCTGTACAGGGTGGCCCATTTTCGATGTTTTAATAGGCTATATCGCAAACCAGCAGAGATATCGAAAATCTGGGAGCACATTCTCGAGCTCTTTTTTTGAGAAAATAACAATGGCGAAAACAAATCACGGGTAACTTGATTCGTTCAGGAAATACAGGGCGCTTTTCAAATTTTGTCCAATTTTAAAAGACTCTCTAATTTCCTTATTATTCAAGATATCCAAAAACGAAAAATACTTTTCATAGGCAGTTTTTCAAGGAGAATCTAGTGGCATGACCAATTTTTCTCCAGATGCCTCCAATTTTGGAATATTGACCAGTGTTTGTGTTTTTTTAAATGGGACGGTATATTATTTTTTTATTGAATAGCTCTTTGTGAGCTGATTTCAATGATAAGGTTTTATACCTTTACCTTCTATAGTTTTGGAGAAAACAAAAATAATTCCGTTTTTCCATAAGAAACGATGGGCTAGAGAGAGAGATAAGTCATTGAATAAATTATGTGTTGCCTATTTATCACCCCCGATTCATAGTTGAAATTAAAAAAAAAAATTAAGTTGAACTGAGAAATTAAATTAAGAATTAAGAAATTTGTAGCCGATTCATAGTTCAACTATCTCTTTCTAACTCATTGTTTCTTATGGAAAAAACGGAATTTATTTTTTTTTCTCCAAAACTATTGAAGGTAAAGGTATAAAATCTTATATCATTGAAATCAGCTCACAAAGAGCTATTCAATGAAAAAATAATGGTGTCTCATTTAAAAAAAACAAAACTTTGGTCAATATTTCAAAATCGGTGGCATCTGGAAAAAAATTGGTCATGCCACTGGATTCTACTTGAAAAACTGCCTATAGAAAGTATTTTTCGTTTTTGGATATCTTGAATAATAAGGAAATTAGAGAGTCTTTTAAAATTGGCCAAAATTTGAAAAGTGTCCTGTATTCCCTAAACGCATCAAGTTAGCCCTAATTTGTCTTCGCCATTGTTATTTTCCCAAAAAAAGAGCTTGAGAATGTGCTCCCAGATTTTTGATATCTCTGCTGGTTTTTGATATATCCCATTAAAACATCGAAAATGGGCCACCCTGTACATAAAACCTGCTTTTTTTTTGCTATTTTTTTTCTTTATGTAGTCACAGTGCAAGGATAGATTAAGTTCTGGATCCAGCATTACACCCAAATATTTGAAAGATTTAACCTCGGATTTTTCACCTATCCAAAAATGTGTACACCACTGCCCAAGTTAGGCAATGTTTAATAACACTGCCTAGTCAATCGGGCCTATGATGTATCCTGTCCTGGTATTTTAACGGCCGTGTTAAGGCTCAACCTCAACATCTATTTCTGTCTCCATTTTGACGCATAGAATAAACAGTGACAGATAACTTAATGTTGCTGTTAAAATAACAGAAAATGATACATCATAGGCCTGATTGCCTATGGCGATTGCTGCGAACATTTCTGTCAATG